GAAAATTAACAGTGTTTATTTCCGCCGTTTCGCACCCTTTTGCAAAAAGTAACTCTGTTATTCAGTGTCATTTTGTATACACTGCAGTTTCAGTTGAACACAACTACAGTTTCAGTTCGATATAACTATAGTTTCATTCGATATTTATAGACTCAAATATGTGAAAATGTTATTTAATTTTATTTTATATACACTATAGTTTCATTAAAACACAACTATATGATTATTTTGATATAATTACAGCTTCATTGTACAATATACACTCAAATATGTGAAATGTTATTCAGTTTCAGTTTATATACACTGCAGTTTCATTTCATTATAACTATAGTATCATTTTGATATAACTGCAGTGTCGGTTTGGATATACTGTAGTGTCAGTTGATGTTTAATACACCAAACAAACGGACTCCGTTAACTCTAACGGCGGACCTGTTATAATAATATTATTATTATAATTTAATTAAACCAAGTATGTGGGAGTTGTGGCAATGCATGCAGATTGAGGATGCAGTAAGTGGGTCATGACTTTACAATACATGGAACATGCATCTCCTAAATTTATGCTTTACTAGTTTTGTATTCACTATAAATAGGCTTGTTATTAACCATTTTAAATCATCAATTTGAACCACAAAGCATTCTTTCCTCTCTCTCCCTCTTTCTCTAATATATATATTATATATATATTATAGATATATTATATTATATTTAATATATATTATATTAAATATATTATATTTAATATATCTAACATTTGGTATCAATGTGACTGGCACTAATCAAAGAGGTGGAGGATCTGGTAGAGGTCGTGGAAGAGGAAGAGGAGGTTCTAGTGGAAGAGGTCGTGGTAACTTCAACCAAGGAGGAGGACGTGGTAACTCCAACCAAGGAAGAGGTGGAGGTAATACCAAACAAGGTAAATTTCCATTTCATTGCTACAATTGTGGCAAGTATGGGCACAAGATTGCAGATTGTTGGTATAATGAGGACAACAATCGTGGAAATCAAGCAAACATTGCTGAAAATACTGCTGAAAAGTCTGGTGAGAATTCTGAAACCTTACTTTTGGCCAGTGATAGTTTTTCTGCTGATAAGAACATATGGTTCTTGGATACTGGGTGTAGTAACCATATGTGTGGGAAGAAAGAATTGTTTTCCGAACTAGATGAATCAGTCCGGTCTGAAGTAACGTTTGGCAATAAGTCAAAGGTGCCAATTTTGGGAAAAGGTAAAATCTCTATTCAGTTGAAGGATGGTACTCGCAATTTTATATCCGATGTGTTCTATGTTCCTGAACTACACAAAAATTTGTTGAGTATGGGTCAGTTGTCAGAAAAAGGATATAAGATACATATTGCTCAGTGGTGTTGTACCATTGCAGATGCTAAAGGAGTTTTGATTGCAAAGGTAAATATGTCTCAAAATCGACTATTTCCTTTGAAAATTAAGCATACTCTCCTTGCTTGCTTTAATTCTGAAGTTTGTGATGATAATTGGTTATGGCATATGCGGTTTGGGCATTTTCATTTTTCTGGATTACACTATCTTGCGAGAAAGGAACTTGTTTCTGATTTACCTGTTGTGAATGTCCCTGATCGTATATGTGAGATTTGTGTGATTGGGAAGAAGCATAGAGATCCCTTTCCCGTGGGCAAGTCAAGGAGAGCTACAAAACAGTTGGAGATTATTCACTCAGACCTATGTTCGTTGGAGGTTCCCTCACATGGAGGTTGTAAGTACTTTATTACTTTCATTGATGATTTTAGTAGGAAAACATGGGTTTACTTTCTGAAGCAAAAGTCTGAAGCATGTGATGTTTTCAAACAATTTAAGGCTTTTGTTGAAAAGCAAAGTGGTTATGAAGTTAAAATCTTGAGAACTGATAGAGGTACAGAATATATTGCTTGTGATAATTTTTTGAAGGAAAAGGGTATTCAGCACCAAATGACAGCCAGATACACTCCGCAACAAAACGGAGTGGCTGAGAGGAAGAATAGGTCAATCATGGATATGGTGAGGTGCATGTTGAAATCTAAGGATCTGCCTAAGCCTTTTTGGGCAGAAGCTGTTACTTGTGCTGTCTATGTGTTGAATAGGTGTCCAACTAAAAGCGTCCGTGATAAGACACCCGAAGAAGCGTGGAGTGGGAGAAAACCCTCTATCAAATATCTCAAGGTTTTTGGATGTTTGGCATATGCACACGTGCCAAATCCGTTGAGAAAGAAGTTGGATGATAAAGGTGAGAAGTGCATATTCATTGGTTATAGTGACGCTTCAAAGGCTTATAAACTCTACAATCCTGAAACTAAAAAGGTTGTTATAAGTCGTGATGTCACTTTTGATGAATATGGTGCCTGGGATTGGTTAGCTAAAGATGAAAGTTCAGTTGTTATTCCTGTTGTTGAAAATATTGTTGATGAGCAACCGATTCCAAATCATGTCCAGTCTCCTTCACAGCCAGAGTCGTCAGTTCGGCGATCTCAGCGCGAGCGCCACTTACCGGCTCGCTTGCAAGATTATGTTTTGGGTCATGATAGTGACCTGTCTGATGAAGAGATTGTTCAATTTGCTCTCTTTGCAGATTGTGATCCTTTAACTTTTGAGGAGGCTGCTACAGAAACTCATTGGCTTAAGGCGATGGATGAGGAGATACGTGCCATTGAAAAGAATGGTACCTGGGAGTTAACAGATTTACCTCCTGGAAAGAAGCCAATTGGAGTGAAGTGGGTTTACAGAACGAAGTACAAGTCAAATGGAGAAATTGACCATTTTAAGGCACGGTTAGTAGCAAAGGGTTACAAACAGAAACCAGGTATTGATTATTTTGAGGTTTTTGCTCCTGTAAGTAGACTTGATACAGTTCGAATGGTTATTTCTCTTGCTGCTCAAAATGATTGGAAATTGCATCAAATGGATGTCAAGTCTGCTTTTTTGAATGGTTTTCTTGAAGAAGAAATATATGTTGAACAACCTGCAGGATTTCTGAAGAAAGGGGAGGAAAATAAAGTGTACAGGTTGAGAAAAGCTTTGTATGGCTTAAAGCAAGCGCCTAGGGCGTGGTATGGTTGCATTGATTCATATTTTGTTGAAAGTGGTTTTATGAGATGTCCTCATGAACACACTTTGTATGTCAAATGCACGGATTCTGGTGATATTGTTCTAATCTGTCTGTATGTTGATGATCTGGTTTTTACTGGAAATAACTTGAAGTTAATCTCAGAATTCAGGGAGGCACTCATTAAGAGGTTTGAAATGACCGATATGGGCCTTATGTCTTACTTTCTTGGCCTTGAGGTTGTTCAGATGGATGGTGGAATCTTTATTTCACAAAAGAAGTATGCTGTTGATATTTTGAAAAAGTTCAAAATGGAAAACTCCAAACCAGCTTCAACTCCGGTAGCTGAAAAGTTAAAGGTGTCCAAAGATGAGTGTGGTAAGAATGTGAATGTTACGTCTTATAAAAGCTTAATTAGGAGTTTGAGGTATCTGGTGGCAACAAGGCCAGATATTTCTTTTGGAGTTGGGATACTTAGCAGATTCATGGAGGAGCCAAAAGAATCACATTGGGCTGCAGCAAAGCGAATTCTGAGATATGTCAAAGGTACGAGTAATGATGGAATTTTTTACTCTACTAATGAAGCTGTGGAACTTGTTGGGTACACAGACAGTGATTGGGCTGGAGATATTGAGACCAGAAAAAGCACATCAGGATATGCCTTCTATCTTGGTTCAACCATATTTTCTTGGTCTTCAAAGAAGCAGCAGATTGTAGCACTTTCAACCGCAGAAGCAGAATATATTGCAGCAGCAAACTGTGCTACTCAAGCAGTTTGGTTGAGGAGAATTTTGGAGTTCTTACAACACAAGCAGGAAGCACCAACAACTATTTTTTGTGACAACAAGTCAGCAATTTCGTTGTCCAAAAATCCAGTCTTTCATGGTCGCAGCAAACACATTGATATCAAGTATCACAAAATCAGAGAGTTGGTTGTTGAAAAACAAATCAACATTGAGTATTGTTCAAGTGAATGTCAAGTTGCAGATATCTTTACGAAGTCGTTGAAGACAGAGACATTTCTTAAATTGAAGAAAGATATTGGGATGACCAATATATCCAACTTGGTTTAAAGGAGGCAATGTTATAATAATATTATTATTATAATTTAATTAAACCAAGTATGTGGGAGTTGTGGCAATGCATGCAGATTGAGGATGCAGTAAGTGGGTCATGACTTTACAATACATGGAGCATGCATCTCCTAAATTTATGCTTTACTAGTTTTGTATTCACTATAAATAGGCTTGTTATTAACCATTTTAAATCATCAATTTGAACCACAAAGCATTCTTTCCTCTCTCTCCCTCTTTCTCTAATATATATATTATATATATATTATAGATATATTATATTATATTTAATATATATTATATTAAATATATTATATTTAATATATCTAACAGGACCGTTTCTTTACTTAAAGAAACGGCGTCGTTTTTGACCGCGGTGCACATGCACCGCGGTCTATAATATAACGATTGGTACTAGAGCTAAACTCTAATTAATTTAATATTTCTTTTTGGTTTAAAAAAAAATAATAACTTTAATTTTTATTTAAAAAAAAATTAAAGCAAAGAGTTTTCTAACGTGACAGCACATGACACGTGCCTAATAAAAAATTCGGTCCTACAAAGCAATTATTCAAATTAAACAATACGGAGTACCATTCAAAGAGGATTTGTTCCAAGTAAGTTAGTGACCTACACCACCAATAATATAAAATTTATTTTTCCTTTTTTAAAATGTACAAATTTTATATATATATATATATATATATATATATATATATATATATATATATATATATATATATATATATATATATATATCCTCCACACTTATTAAATGGAAAGAAGAGGAAAAAACTCGAAAAAAAAAAGGTGACAAAATTATTACTCCGTATTTATATAATACTAACAAAACTTACGATCAATAATAATGATACAAAGAAAAAAATCATCAATTATATACCAGTGTAATAATAATTAAATAAATGTGTGTGACAAGATGAATAAAAATCCAACAACAACGAATAGCAAGCGGTGGCCCCACAATGAAGACGAGGAGTAGGCCCCACTGGTGTCATTTCTCTGACCCGGCGTCAAGACGGAAGTTGTACCGTTAAAACTCGGGTTTGACCCGTAAAGCACTTGGATCCCCTGAATATCATCTTCAGCGAGTTCCACTTTCCGGGTCGCAGATCCTAGGGTCGGGTACATTATCGAATCCTCCACCGACGAGTGACCCAAACCCAACAAATGCCCGATTTCGTGAACCGCAACGGACTCCATATCCACGGTGGAGAGGATCGACGCCGGCGCGTTTAGGAAGTTGCCGTCGAGCACCCAATCCTCGTCGCCGTCCATGTGGAGATGCCCGGACGGCGGGGAGAACGCGTGGGCCAACGTGCCCATCGACCCGTCGAACGCCTCGCCGTCGCCGTGGTCGCCGGAGTAGAACCCGATCTTGATGTCCGCCGACCGGTACACCTCCGTCTGGGTGAATGTTATGGGTATGACCTCCGACCACCGCTCGAACGCCCGCGTGAAAACGCCCTTCACGGTGGCGGTTAGCTGGTTTCCCGGCAGAAATGCGTAGGTGAGCTCGGTGGTCCCCTCCGGCCACCGCGGCTGTCCCGGAAAGAACGAGTAATGCGCCACCGTGTGTACCGTCCCCGCCGCAGGCGGCGGCGACGCCTTGCCGGAGGCCATGGTGGAGGAGCCGTTGACGATATCAGCGTTACCGCAGCGGGGGCGCATCATGTGCTGGATGGTCGGCGCGTCGAGTTCACCGCTGGTGTTGAGGTTGAAATTCAGCTGGTAAGTCTTGATAGCCGACTCGAGCAAGTCGTCGAAGTCGTCGGTGAAGTTGGAGCCGGAGTGGTTTCCAATGTAGCCGAAGTAGTGGAAGTAGTTCTTGAGCCTGGCTAAGCCGTCGACTTTCTGGCCGGCGTGGCAGCCGAGGAATTTATTGAAAACGCCCCACGCGCTGCCATTTCCGGCCAAAGAGCGTGGAATGGAAGTGATATTGGGGAAGAAATGGGCATCGCCTAAACTAGTAAAGCTGGAGAAGACAAGGAGTGCTGTAATGAATCTGTATATAATGGAAGAAATCTTCATATTGAAAATGGGGTCTGAATTTAATTGGATGAGATGGATAAAAGGGAAGTATATAAATAGAGAGAGAGAGAGGGGTTAGTGGTAGGAGTTTTCTAAGTGGCCGGCGATATGGATTGACTGTTGCTTGATTAGGAGATGTTTGTCAATACTATTCTCGCGTTTTCGTGTGAACTTTGTAAGCAACGTTTGATGGCTTGACTGCTTCTCAGTCTTTAGATGTTTCTATGTATTTTGCAAGAGTTGCACCCTATTAAGTTTCAACTTCAACACTTGGCCTTTGGTGGAATGTAATTAAGTTGTAATTTAATGAAAGCTTCAATTACATTGTTTGGTTGAAGTAATTTCTTCATTTTGTTGAATTGCAATTCATGAGGCATCTCATGAATCGCAATTCAATACTTGTGGGAAAGAAAAAAATAGAAGAAATGACAAAAGTATCATTGGTGATTGTTATTATTATTATTACACAGATATTTTAGTCTTTATACTACTTTTTTTCTTCTCATCCCCAATAATTCTATTTCTTCCTACCAAACAATGTAATTTGAATTCTTACATTATTCATACATTATTCTTTTCCCACCGAATTACAATTCCTTACCTTAAATTTACTTCCACATGGGTAGATTGTAGATAAAGACACGAAATCGAGTCTTAGCAGTACTTTCAGTGTGAGAGTCACACACAATGGATAGCTGAATTATCGTGATTGGCAAAAACTTGTGTGAGATCATCTCGCGGGTGTTCGTGAGACGGGTCGCGTCAAGATGAAATGTAATACTTATACTAGCAAATATAATACTAAATCAAAAATAAAATATTTATTACTACTTTATATGGGCAAATGTAATACGTTTGATGGCATGACTACTTCTTAGTCTTACAATGTTTCTATGTATTCTTTTAATACATTAGGTTTCGAGCTTAAACTAGACTAATTCTTACTCCCTAGAATTCCTGTTAGATGAAGTAAATCGCGAGTCACCTAATTAGTTCTCAGTTTTCACTCTTGCATGTACAAATCGAAGCTCTACCCTACTGTTGGAGTAAGACTTCTACAATGATTCTTAAATCATTGAGTTAAGCCCCGCGGACACATTTCTATGTACTTTGCAGTGTTGCACAGTTAATGGGTTGTTTGGTTGGATATAATTGCAATTCAATTACAACACAATTCTTTGGTCACCCGAATTACAGTGTTTAGTTGGAGTGAATTCTAATTCTACCGAATTACAAATCCTTCCATTTATGGAATTGGAATTCTTGGACTCCCCATATGAATTATATTTCGAAGCAGTGGGGAAAGGAAAAAGCTAAGGAAATGACCATTTTGCTCTTTATGATGGTGATGATTATTATTATTTTTACATAAGGACATTTTAGTCTTTATATCACTTTTTCCCTTCCAATTCCCAATAATTCTATTCCTCTTTACCAAACAATGTAATTTGAATTCCTACTTTTCCAACTCAATTATTACAATTCCTTCCCCTAATTCCTTCCTTCCAATCAAATGTCATGTTAAAACTTTCAACATCCAACACTTATAAGTTACGTGCTCTTAGTTCTCTGGGGGCTAAGGTCATAGACAAAAGCCAAAGGTGCTATAAATGTTTCTTTTATTTTTACTTTTTTTAAAAAAAATTATAGTCCATCATTTCATTTTATGTGTCTAGTTCATAACATTAAGTTTAGTATTTGTATATACAGAGTAAAAATTTATATATTTAAAAATTACATTAAAGTACTATAAAACACACAAATTTAAATTTAAAAACTAATTAAAAAAAAAAGACAATGAGAAAAAAGTTAGTGATAGATATATTAGAGACGGACCCGGACCAAACCGACCCGAGGAGAAGTGGAGACGACCCAGGCTTGGGGTGACCTTAGCCCGGGGTGGCCTCGGCTTAGGGCGGCCTCAACCCGAGTGGTCGGCCTCGGCCTGGGGTGGCCTCGGCTAGAGGCGGCCTCGGGCTAGGATGGCCTCGGGCTAGAGGCGGCCCCGACCTTGTGCGCTACACGTGCAGACGTGATCAAGGAGGATCCAACCGCTCGTCCTATTCTCATGGAGGTGGTAAGGAGGAAACTTTAGTATAAAATAGCTCATTATTATCGTGATTAGGATATATTCATTAATTATATTCACTTATAATCTTCCTACAAAACCATTATTAATACAAGAATTGTCTCCCCGACATATATTATTCCTTGTCTTTTCCTTTTTATTATCCATTTATTTATTCATATTATTATAGAATTAAGTAATTCGGACTACTCAGGTTAATTTAATCCACCATTGGTGCTTTCATTGAGAGCTCGACAAACAAGCTCGAGCGTGTTATCCACTAACTATTACAAGATCGAGATCCAACTCTCGCAATTCACGTTACTCACGCAACACCCGTGTTACCCAAAGAAGGAACGGCCTCAACGAGACCGCTAGCAGGCAACAAACCCTCTCCGTGAGGTCGGTGGGGGACCTACGGGATCATCTCAACATCAACCGCAACGGCGCGTCGATTCCTACCGCCCCCCATCGGTGACACCTTATTGACTTGCCTCGTGGAGGGGCTCTAAAGAGCTGATAGAGCCCCCCACTTGGCCTCGAGGCCTCTCAAGGAGCCTGACCTCCACCCCGCGTCCACTGAGAGAGCACGGTGGGCCGAGCACCCGGCTTCCTCGAGCCCCAATAACTCAAATCGAAGGAAAGGTCAACTCGCCTCGACCATCGGATAGGTGTGGAGGAGGTGGTACTAGCTACGATGGGCAAGGGCATCGAGAATGGAATGGAAGGCGGCCAGCCTGCACCAAGCCCGCCTTGGGACGATTAGGCCCCCGCGTACCAGCCGGTGACTGCCTAGGATCGAAGCTGACCGGTAACAACCCGCCAATGGAAGCGTCTTCCTCACGTAAGCCTCCAGGCCACTAGCTACGAGCTCCGCCACGCCGGGAGCAGGCCTCGAGGGTGGAACGGTCGGGTGAAACTAGTGATTGGGCTTCGAGCTCCCACCATGACGAGGTCGAGCAATTGTGGAGGCAGATGGACGAGCTCTAACGAATGATAGACAGGTGAGGACCCCATTATCTAGCGAAGCCCCTAGACGTGTTATCCACCCCATTTAATCAAGGTCGTGTACTACAACACCTACCCCTAGCTCGGGTTGTCAAAGAAGCAGCTAGGACAAGTGATGACCACGTTGTCTGGTTTGGGGAACTCCATCGAGACGGAAGGCTCAATCAGCCTTGAGGTGGAGATTGGCACACCACCCTATGTCAAGAGGTGGGAGGTGGAGTTCGTGGTGGTAAAGATAAACTGTGCTCATAACATCATCTTGGGCCGACCTACTCTGGAGGACCTTAGGTGCATGATCTCTATGGAGCATTTATGCCTCAAGTTCCCCACCCCAATAGGAGTTGGCGTTACTACCTCATGGCATGCCGTCAGATAGGGAAGCGAGACCTCCAAAGTTCACACCATCGTGGAGAAAGCACTACGAGAGGAGGAGGAGAGGCCCCGAACTGAGCCCGCGGTGTAAGTGGAAGAGGTCATGCTAGACCTCAATAGACCCTGCTAGGTGGTAAAGGTTGGGACCGACCTCCCGCCCGACCTTCAAGCTCGGATTATAGAAATCATCAGGAGCTACAAGGAGTACCTCTCCGCGGAGAGGACGGAGTTCGTTAGGAAGGAGGTCAATACCCTGAGTGGCTCGCCAACGTGGTCCTCGCCCCAAAGCCGCCCACCTGGAGGATGTGCGTGGACTACACCGACCTCAACAAGGCCTACCCCATGGACCCCTTCGCTCTACCCAATATTAACCAGCTCACGGACGAGACAGTAGGGTGTGCTCTCATGAGCTTCCTAGACGCCTTCTGGGGGTACCACCAGATTTTATGCACGAGGATGACGAGGAGAAAATGGCTTTCACGACCCCCAAAGGGGTCTTCCGCTACCGAATCATGGCCTTTGAGCTAAAAAATCCAGGGTCTACATACACATGGATGGTAACCATGGTCTTAAGACAGGTCTTTGGCCGCAATATGGAGGCATATTTCGACGACATGATAGTCAAGAATGTTGAGGCCGAGCCCCACGTCAGCAATCTGGCTAAGGTATTTTCTATTATGAAACGTTTTAATTTGTTGTTGAACCCCAGGAAGTGTACTTTTGGGGTGCACGGGGGAAAATTTTGGGCCACATGGTTTCAAAGAGGGGTATTGAGCCTAAACTCGACAAGGTGGGGCCTACGAGGTCTCTCTGCGAGGTCCAACGCCTAAATAGCTAACTAGCAGCCCTTGTGTAACACCCTCGATTTTACCAACGTTTTAAAAACTTAAATTCAAAGATAAGCAAACTAATCATCCATTAAACATTAAGCGGAAGCAAGTCTAAACGGGGATATTATGCCACATCTAAAGTATTAAAGATGCACATGCAAAACATAACAACTAATCCAAAACCAAAGTCTACGGCTCACAGGCCGAACAACAACTAAGGGAAAGATAAAGCTACACTAGCTAAGAGTCTTCACTAGTGCGCTCGTCATCTACTCAAAACCTGTAAAAGACAAGGGATGACACCCGGTCAGCGAATAAAGCTGGTAACCCATCAATACGCGTTAAATAGCATAATATATAGATAGATATAATCAAAAGCGTTTGAGACTGAGGAATACAGTATATAGTCATTTTAAAACCAGAAGAAGGTCAACATCGAAGACTCATCACACTCTCAACAAAGATCGAGGATCATCAACCTCAACAAGACAACAGAAACCATAAACAACAAGGACAACACAACTCTAGATGCAACCTACCATTCACAAGGTAGAGTTCATCAAACCTTATGGCTACCCCCGACCTTATAACTAGTTCCAACCGTTACCTCCTAGTGCCACCCTGTACTTCTGAGTCCAATCTTATTCCGCCTGGGACTGTCGTCCCCCACAAATTAGAACCGTATTACCACCGATCTCATAGTACACGAGGGTACCGTTAAGTAACAATATTACCATCGATCTCGTGAGCAAAGCTCAATAATATTACCACCAATCTCAATGAT